TTTTTAGATTGGCCTAAGTAAGCTTTTCATGGCTCATGAGGCATTTTTTTGCACAACCAAACCCTAATCCTAATCCCAAACTCCAAACCCATCCTGTCCTGTCCTTCCTAAACATTGGGGTACAAGTGCCCTTATGCATCAGTACTCCTGTGATGTTTATTTTCAAGAGAGAGGGAGACATAGAATCTGAAGCAGGCCCCAGGCTGTGAGCTGTCAGCACAAAGCCCGACATGGGGCTCGAACACACGAACTGTGAGATCATGACCTGAGCCGAAGTCAGATGCTTAACCGACTGAGCCACTCAGATGCCCCAGGGAAAAATATTTTTAAAGGAAGTAGCTTAGTTTGTAAAGAATAATTCCAGCTCTCCAAAGTAACCATGTGTCTTAAAATTCTTCTAAAATTGGCATTCCTTGGAGGCACCTGGGTGACTCAGTTGGTTAAGTGCCAAACTCTTGATTTGGGCTCAGGTCATAATCCCAGGGTTTGTGTGATTGAGCCCCACATCAACTCCACGCTGAGTATAGAGCCTCCTGTGAGATTCTCTCCCTCCCTCTCCCTCTGCTCTCCCCTGCTTGCATGTGTTCATTCTCTCTCTCTCTCGCTCTCTCTCTAAAAATTAAAAAAAAAAATTTTTTTTTTATTTAAATTGGCGTTCCTTACTGGGCTGGCTTAGTCAGGAGAGGGTGCAACTCTTCATCTTGAGGTCATGAATTCAAGCCCTAAATTGGGCATAGAGCTTAATAAAAAATAAATAGGGGTGCCGAGGTGGCTCAGTTGCTTGAGTTTCGGACTCTTGATTTTGGCTCAAGTCATGATCCCAGGGTCAGGGGATGGAGCCATGCTGAGAGTGGGGCCCGCTTAAGATTCTCTCTCTCTCGGGCACCACTGGGTGACTCAGTCATTAAATATCTGACTTCGGCTCAGGTCATGATCTCACAGTTCATGAGTTCAAGTCCCACATCAGGTGAGCTTGAGCCCTGCTCTATGTGACCTGGAGCCTGCTTTGGGTGAGCCCCACTTCATGCTTTCACACTGTCTCTCTCTCTGCCCCTCCAGAGATTTTCTCTCTCTCTCTCTGCCCCTCGCTCATTTGTGCCCTCCCTCTCTCTCTCAAAACAAAAAAAAATTCTGTCTCCTTCCACCCCTCTCCCCAGCGCGCGCTCGCTCTCTTGCTCTCTCTCTGTCTCTCTCTCTCTAAAATAAAAAATAATTGGTGCCTGGTGGCTCAGACAGTTAAGCGTCTGACTCTTGGTTTCAGCTCAGGTTATGGTCTCGCAGTTCAGTGAGTTCAGCACTGACAGTGTGGAGCCTGCTTTGGATTCTCCTTCTCTGCCCCTCCTATGCTCGAGCACACACTCCCTCTCTCTCTCTCTCTCAGAATAAATAAACTTAAAAAAAAATAAAATAAAATTTTATAATAAATAAAATTGGCATTCCTGCTAGAAATCACAGAAAGTCAGTGCATGAGTGAAGTGGCTAACATTGGTTTTAGGCAAAAACATTGGCTTGTAGATAGAAACAGAACAACTGGGGTAGAAGTTTCTTAGAGACATAGGGAGGAAGAAGGGTATAAACTCAAACTACTCTGAAAGAAAATCTGGATAGAAATTAAAAGTAGTTTTTTTAATGTTTATTTATTTTTGAGAGTGAGACTGAACGCCAGTGGGGGAGGGTCAGAGAGAGAGGGGGACATAGAATCCGAAGCAGGCTCCAGGCTCTGAGCTGCCAGCACAGAGCCCGACACGGGGCTCAAACTCACCAGCCATGAGATCATGACCTGAGCCGGAGTCCGACACTTAAATGACCGAGCCACCCAGGTGCCCCGAAAGTAAAAGTCATCTTGAATCCCTGAAATTCCCAGTGATGAATGTGGTGTATCATAAAAGACTTGAAGGCCAGGGCTGCCTGAAACCCAGGTGAAGACTAATTTTACCGCTTCATTACACCATTTCACTGTGTATATTAGCAGGTTTCCATGGGCATGTTTCTTAACCTCTCTGAACCTTGTTTTCTTCACTCAAAACGTGCTAAATGTTTCCTGTATATTGTTTTTAATCTTGACAGCAGCTCACACTGCTATTATTAAGCCCATGTTATAGACTTAGGAAACAGGCTTAGAAAGGTTAACCTGCACAAGGTCGCAAATCTTACTAGGCTTCGCAGATACCCCTATTTTCGTGTCTCCAAAACCCCAAACGTGGACAATAATTGGAGGGGAAGTTAAATAGCAAGTTGGTTTTTTTCTGCCATGTATTTAAAACCAAGATCATGTGTTTATTCCATGTATTTGAGGGAATTCAATGGTCTATACCTCACCAGTTACTTGAAGACAAGAGAGCTGGGTTGTCTGAAACTCTAAACCAGACTTCTTCTGGTGATGTTTTAAGACTTGCTGTCAATAAGGATGTCAGGCAGCTGCCTGCCTAGACTTCCTCTTAACCTCCATCTGGTGCTAAGCACACTTCCTTTTGAATCCTGAAGTATTTTATATGTCTGTGAAATGAAGGTGACAGTGTTGCCTTTCTAAAAAATTTCATGGAAATGCAAATCAAATCCCCCTCTTTCCGCATATGAGCAATTAAGAGGACAGACGTTAAGTGATGAAGTCCAGGTTTTCCTTAAGCTGAGAATGGCAAAGAATAAAACCACAGACCTGGAGGGCAGTGGATATCACCATATAGAACCATCTTATTTATCTCAGAGCTCCAAGGGCTTTTTCCTACGTGTGACTGAACCAGGGAGAACAGGGTGGGAGAATGGGGTGCTAGGAGGTAAGCAGATTTAGAGCCTGTACGCAAAAGCTGACAGTGGTTCTCACCCCCAGGGCCAATTGGAAATGGTGGCACGCAATTTTTGACTGTGAAATGACTAGGGTCCCTACTGGTATTTGGTGGACAGAGGCCAGGGATGCTAGATGACCAGCAGAACATGCACAGCAAAGCTTTTTATTGCCTGAAATTCCTGGAGTGCCCCCCTCAGTCAAGCATCCTAATGCTGGCCGCAGATCAGCTCCTCACATGGAGGCTGGGCTAAGAGCTCGGGGAAGCAGATGGAAGAACATTTAGGAAAAACAGTTTTATTGCCACCTGTTCTGTGGAACAGTGACCCATTGTTATGTGACAGAGGAGGCATTCTAGAGCAGTGGCGTTCATGTGAGTCATGTGCCCTTGGTGGGTCATGAAATCAATTTAGTGAGTCACATCAGCAGTCCTTAAAAAAGAATAGAATAAAAGCAAATTGAAGGTACCAGAGTGTATCTCAGTAGTATGGCTAAGTATTTCATAGTGCGTGTGTGTGTGCACGTGACTGTGTGTTTCCCAGCGAAAGATGTAAGTTGTATTTTTTGCTGTGGATCCCTGTAAAAATGTGTGACAGACCCTTTTCTAAAAGTTCTACTCTTGTTCCTGACTCTTGAAACATCTGAAAGGGACACAATAGCCTGAAGGGACCTCTTGACGATATTTGCAGCCATCCCTTTTCCAAGATTCTCTGTAAATGGTTAAAGGAGCACGATTGACAAAAACTTTGTTAAAGATTTAGGGGATTCCTCTCACTTCTATCTCTAATCTCTGCCTCGTGTATTTTCTTGCAAGTGCTTTTATAGTTTTAGATCTAATTCATTCTTTCAAAGTGTACACTTTAATGGTGTTCAGTATATTCAAAAAACTGTGCAACCGTAATTTCCATAATTCTAAAACATTCACCCCGAAAAGAAACCCCAGAGAAAATGTTCTCAGATAGTGTGTGCATTTTATCATATGTGAATATCATTTCAGTTACAAAAAAAAAAAAAATTACACCTGTATTCATTAATGGTTATTACCTATTCTCCCCTATAGCAGAGCAACCGTTAATCTATTTTCTATCTCAATAGATTGGCCTGTTGTTGATATTTCATATGAACAGAATCACACAGTATCTGGTCTATTGTGACCTACTTCTTTGACTTGATATAGTGTTTTTAAGGTTCACCCATGTTTTAGCATGAATCAGTACTTCGTTCCATTTTATTCACAAATAAAATTCCATTGTATGGCTCTACCACATTTTGTCTATCCATTCATCAGTTAAGGAACATTTGAGTTATTTCCCCTTAAGGGGTATTATAATAATTGAGCATTCATATACATGTTTTTGTGTGAACGTATGTTTTCTGTTCTCTTGGATATACCCCTAAGAGTGGAATTGCTGGGTCATATGGTAATTCTGTGTTTACTTTCAAAAAACTGCCAAAATGTTTTCTAAGTGGCTATAGTTTACATTCCTACCAACAAGGTATGAATTGAGAAAATGTCTATTCAAATCTTTTGCCCATTTTTTATTGGGCTGGGGTTTTTTGGGGCTTTTTTTTTTTTTTTTTTTTTTTTTTTTTTTTTTGAGATGCAAGAGTTCTTTGTATCCCTTTTTCGATGCATAATTTGCAAATATTTTCTCCCCTTCTGTGGGTTGTCTTTTTATTAATAGTGTCCTTTGAAGCATAAAGGTTTTACTTTTCATGAACTCCAATTTATCTTTTTTTTCTTTTGTCACTAGTACTTTTGGTATCCTAACTAAGAAACCATTGCCTGATCCAGGGGGAACAAAGATTTATGCCTAGGTTTTCTTTCAAATAGTTTTAGCTGCTGCATTTAGTTCTTTGATGTCTTGTGAGTTAATTTTGTTTATGGTGTGAGGTAGGGGTCTGACTTCTTTCTTTTAAATGTGAATGTCCAGTTATCCCAGAATCATTTGTTGGAAACACCGTTCCCTCCTTAATGAAATGTATTGATGCCTATATTACATCCTAAAAGCAAATAAGTGCAGCTTTGGAGAACAAATATTGTAAAAGCCAAACTCACCTGTGAGCTGGATTTCCTTAACATTCTCAGTCCTTTGTTTCTTCATGAATGAAATGTGGAAAATCAATCTTTCCAACTATGTGTTTCAGGATGTGTATGAAAGAAGGAGATAAAGAATACCATAGTAAAAAGTAGTCCTTTCATAATTTTTTTTTCCAGGATGTAATTTCACACAGAACAAAGCTGAATAAGAAAAAACATGGAGAAATGCAAATACTGAATAACACTGACAGCCAGGGAATTAAAAGTTTAAGTAAGGAGAGGAGAAAAACACTAGAAACGTATCAGCAGCTGTTTTATCTTTTACAGGTGAGAACATTTGCTTTTACTCTAAGTTTTGGATCGATATGTTTTGGATCACTCTAAGTTTTATGGTTTACAGTGCAATTTCCCCCGTGCTAAAGTTGTGGTAGCTGACATGTTTTGAGTGCCTACTAAGTACCACGTGTCATTCTGGGATGTTTGGCATACATTATCCCATATAATTCTTACTACAACCCTGTGAACCATCAGAAAATAGTAATTATTGTTATTCCCCTATTATATGTGAGAAAACTGAGACACAGCCAGCAGAGGGCAAAGCAAGGGTATTGGAAACCAGTCAGTTTGACTTTGGAGCCCCTGCTTTCGTGACATTATATTATAGTTATCTTCAGAAACAGTATACACCTAATAATAACATAAGTAGATGCTGTCAGCCATGAAAAAAAGTATGTGAAAAATGGATCTTGACCTGTACCAGCTTGCCCTTCATGCAAGAAAAGAGCCAGAGAGTTTGGATTGGGAAATAGGGTATCTTTTTTATTTCATTATTTTCATGCCATTACTCTGATGTAAATGAACCGTAATTCTCTACTGGTTCCAGGGTGCAGGTGAAAGCTAATCAGCTGAGCTGCTTGTGGTTGGACTGTGGTAGACCAGCTATTGTTTTGGTTAATCCCTCATTCAGCTCATCTACCCTACTAGCTCATCCACTTAGTCCCAAGGAAACTGAGTAAGCGCTAGTGATAAACAAAGCCTCCCCTTGGGCAGGAAACCTTTCCCCCAAAAGTTCAATCAGCCCGACTTGCCTGAGTCGGGTGTCCCTTTGTGTGGCTGCTTCTGCTTGTGATGGTGATTCCCTCAAGGCCTGGAGGTGCCTGAATCTTTGCCTGAGGATGGCTCTGGCAGGAGGTATACAGAGAACACATTACTCAAACCATGAATGAAGTGTGGTTTGCCCCAAGGAAAGAAGTTATGTTAACTTTAGCAAGAGTTGAGAAGTCTACCTGGAATAATAGATTGTAAAGCAAGTGTAGTGCCACAGACGGCCACAATGTGGCAGCATACAGAAAATGTTAAAACGGTATTGTTCCAGGAATCCATTGCTTAATTAACACCAGCAACCATCCCAGAAAGGAAGGGTTTTTGTCTACCTAAATTAGAAGACTAGTCATGCACCACTTGGAAATTTAAACTTTGGCATTTATTCTTTTTGATATCCGTGAACCTCCCAAATGTATGAGGCTTCTTTAGGATTCAGCTAGTGATGTTAGATTTTGATAGATTTTGTGTCCTAAGGAAAGTGGAAGTAGTCATTGGCCTAAGACTTCTATTTTTTACCCTGTCCCATAAGTAGAGACCCACTAATAGAAAGGGTAAAAAGCACAGGAACTTATTGAGAACATTCCCACCAAGTTTGATTCCCCAAACAACCCAAAACTGATAGTCCCAGAGCATGCCCGTTCAGTTGTACAAAGGGAAGTGTCTCTTGAAACCGTGTATTTTTCTTTACTTTTCCTCTCTCTCCTTTGGAGACATTAGCCCAAGATCATTGAGGAAACTAAATCAAAGCAAGTGGTCTGGATTTGGCCTTTGGTTACTGCCTTGGCAAGAATTATTAGCCAAAGCACAGGACAGCTGATATAGAGATTGTTGAGTTTGCCTCTTCAGTACGAGCCTAAATGCAAAACTTTTAGGTCATCTGGGAGGAACGAGGAGTAGGATTCTTTAGCTTTCGAGTGAGTTTCCTTTCTCATAATCCCATGCTTAGTGTGGGAAAAGAATCACTGTAGCACTGTAAGGAAAAACGTCCTCAGCTACTGCTTCAGAAAATTTCAGCCAATAATTATTGAGCTTGAAAGTAAATTTAGTAGTAAAGTAAACGAGAATTCGTGTTTTCTTAAAAACTTTGAAGCAAAACTGCTTGGGTGTATTAAGTGAACACGAGTTTCCACGTATGGAAAAGTTTCTTTTCTCATCGGAAAGAAGGTGAAGGGTAGGATATTTACTTTCTTTGCATGAATATTTTCCTCTCTTGCCTAAATAATAGTTTTTCTCCTCTAACTTCCACCTGGCTGGTGTAGCTGTGGGAGAAAACCCATATAACCCGAAGTCTGGTGTTGTATCTCAGGAGCTCCACCCTGAGCGGAGCCCTCAGAACTCCACATCAATTTTCTTTTTTTAATTCTTGAGTTCTAAGGTGTCTTTTTTACCCCCTGTCACTTTCTTCTGGTTTTCGTCTATCAACTGTCCTGACCTTCACCCTTCTCTTCAGCCTCCCTACCTCACTCCTACCTTCTCTCTCCTTGGAAAACATCATGACCATCCCACTGTCTCTACATGTAAACATACCCTTTTTCTAGACTCAGAATATGGGATGTATTTCCTTCTATTCATTCAGCAGTCCTTCTGGAATAGTCTGTTTCACTGGGCCCTTGTTTCATTATTGCCAGTATCTTCGGATACCAGATTCTGTTTTCCACCCCCTCTCTCTTCTGTGTCTCTATAATAAATATTAATATGTGACTTGAAATGGTTAACAGTATAAAGTGCACACAATTGTATTTAATTAAATAAATAAATCCTGTTGTAGCTTTCTGATATAACTTCCTGTGGTATCGATATTAGCGGATACCTTTTAAAGTATTATTTTGTGCCAGATACTCCACTAGAGGCTTTATGCATATTAAATTACTGAAGGGCAGGGAATTGGGTACTCCTTTCTGCTTTAATAATATATTAACATACAGTTTTGGGGGGGACTTTGTCTGTCTTCTCTCTTTTCTTTTAGACCAATCCTTTATATCTGGCTAAGCTGATTTTCCAGATGCCACAGAACAAGTCAACTAAATTTATGGATACTGTTATTTTCACACTATACAATTATGCTTCCAATCAGCGAGAAGAATATCTACTCCTCAAGCTTTTTAAGACAGCTCTGGAGGAAGAAATAAAGTACGTATATAAATATATATGTAAAGATATTAATGAATAGATCATTTTAGATTATCATTATTTGCTAAAATAATATTTAAATTATTCTCAGAAATGACTCATACATATTAAAGTGTATCAAATTCCTGAAGAAATTTCTACATCACTATAGATATATTCATGTACAGCTTTCTCCCACCAGTGATACCTTTTTTACTGCTAAATTAACTTTTGATTTTGCAAGTATGCAACAACTTGAAAATCAAAAGTTTTTTGAAAGTGAGTGAGAAAAAATTTAACTTAATTAAAATTCTGTGAGTAATAAAGTTATAAACAGATGGGGGTAACAATCTCTGCCAAATACTCTTTTTATACTTCTCTTACTGGAATTAAACTGCTTTTCGCTGATTTCAGATTCAGTTAAGGTAAGGAAAAAAATGTGGATGTCTACTAAGTGGGGGAAAAAAAAAAAATGAAAATGCCCTTACAACTAGCTGGAACCTTAACTGCCTTCCTGGCTTCTTAATACCTTAAGCTATACTATTTCCTACAGATCTCTGAAACATATTAGCTAGGAACCTCTGCCCTCAGGGTATCTGTGAACCAACATGAGAAATATATGGGAATGTGTGCACTGAAATAAATAAGTACTAATGAATGATCCATATCATGTAACAGATCAGAGGGATGGAAAGAAAAGTTCCAGTTACAAATGGTATTGTAATAGTGATGTAACAGGACAGATGGCTGCTACGCTTGTGGTAAACCTAGCATAACATATAAACTTGTCAGAACACGAAGTTGTATACCTGAAACTAACATTGTGTGTCATCGGTCCTCAAATTAAGAAGTAATAAATATATACATACATACATAAGGAAAGCTCCAGTTAAATTAGGTCACTCAATAAAGATTTTGTGGAAGAGGAAGTCATTGATCCAAATCCTTGAAGAATATCTATAGTTTTTTATCAGAAAAAGTGGAAAAAGGAAATAAGGCACACCGCTGACAGAAACAGCACGGGCCACAGTCCAAGAAAGCCAGTAGGATCAATCTAGCCAAGATGCGATTTAACCCAGATGACTGGGAGGTAGAGCTAAAAGGCTAGGTTGGGCCAGATCATGGGAGTCGCTGAGTATAGGCCTGAGTGCAAGGCACTGTTTACTTCCTGTGAAGGTGTGAAAGGCCTTTGAGTGGGGTATTGACCAAGCCGCTTTGGGTTTTTCGAAGAATTGTTCTGCTGCTGTGTATGAATAGAATAGATTATAGCTGCCCAGGTCAGAAAAATGGGGGAGTCAGAAGGAAAAAGATGTAGTTGGGAGTGTTAGAGCAATATGAGCTACAGGTATAGAATTTATGGGTGAAAATGCTCAGCAGAAAACTGGAAATTGAAGACCCAACTCCCAGGAAGGAGAAGTGGATTACTCACTGGGCTCAGAGGACAATTTCCAAAGAGATGGTGATTGAAGTTGTACGTATGAGTGAGGTCTTGATGATAGATCATGGAGAAAGACATGAGTGGGAACAGTTAAAATGTGGGAAGCGGAGCAGCAAAGGAAAGAGAGGGAATGACTGAGTAAGGTAAGAAACAGAATGCAGCTCTTTGAGACTGTAAAGGAAAAGGGGGTACAGAGGGGGCCAGTGGTCATGCGGGAGCGTCAGAGGTTGTACAGAGGTGAAAGGGAGGAGGGGAAGGGACGCTCACGGGAGTTGGCAGTCAGCAGTCGAGAAAAGCTCTCTCAGCCATGTGACATAGTCTCAGCCAGAAGCTGCCCCACAGTCAATTTGGGATTCGAAAAAGCGGAGTTAGTTCATTGAATCAAGAAAGTAGTTTTTGAAATTTGGTAACTAGACGGGACATAATACTTGCACAGTGGTACCCTGTATTCTTCTTAGTGTTGGTCCACTTTCAGTTCCTTCCTGCCTTTTAGACTGAAATTGAGGCTGAGCACTTAGGTTTTAAGTGCTTGAGTTCCTCAAATAAGGAACACACGTATCAGAAATAATCACTTCCTTTTAAACCACACCATCTTTGATTTTCATGGAGCAAGTCCTTGTTTGCCAGAGGGACCATACACTGTTGAAAACTCTGTACATAGAGGCAAACCACTTGTTTTGGTCTGGGTTTGTTTTAGGTCAAAGGTGGATCAGGTACAGGACATAGTGACTGGGAACCCCACCGTCATCAAGATGGTTGTGAGCTTCAACAGGGGGGCCCGTGGACAGAACACCCTGCGCCAGCTCCTGGCTCCCGTAGTGAAAGAGATCCTCGATGACAAGTCCCTGACCATCAACACAAACCCCGTAGAGGTGTACAAGGCTTGGGTGAACCAACTAGAAACACAGACTGGAGAAGCCAGGTAACTGAGGCCGGAAGATGTTGGTTTTGCAGTCGTGTTTTATTACCATTTTTACATGGTTATTATATATACTCTTAAACTCTGTTAAAAGAATAAAATTTAGGGGCACCCGGGTGGCTCAGTCGGTTAAGTGTCCAGCTCTTGGTTCCAGCTTAGGTCATGATCCCACAGTTCATGGGTTTGAGCCCCACATCAGGCTCTATGCTCACAGTGCAGAGCCTGCTTTGGATTCTCTCTCTCTTTCTCTCTCTCTCTCTCTCTCTCTCTCTCTCTCTCTCTCTCTCTCTCTCTCTCTCTCTCTCTCTCTCTCTCTCTCTCTCTCTCTCTCTCTCTCTCTCTGACGCCCTCCACCCCTCCTCCCCCCAGTCCTCAGCCACTGCTCATGCTCTCTCTCTCAAAATAAATAAAAGCTTTTTTAAAAAAGTTTAAAAAAAAAACAAAATTTACTATCCAGAGTCAGTTTTCAATTCAAGATGTTTGGGGTGCCTGGGTGGCGCAGTCGGTTAAGCGTCCAACTTCAGCCAGGTCACGATCTCGCCGTCCGGGAGTTCGAGCCCCGCGTCAGGCTCTGGGCTGATGGCTCAGAGCCTGGAACCTGTTTCCGATTCTGTGTCTCCCTCTCTCTCTGCCCCTCCCCTGTTCATGCTCTGTCTCTCTCTGTCCCAAAAAAAATAAATAAATGTTGAAAAAAAAATTTTTAAAAGATGTTACTCCCTTTAACATATCCATGCAGGCCACATTCTTGGACTCATCTTGGTTTTGCATGGTATTTTCACATTTCAGTACCAGTTGAGCCCCCAAAGCCACAATTCCTGTAATTCTCTGCCTTGGTTCTTCGTCGTGTGTTTCTAAACCTAGACCTAGAAATGGCACACCTCCTCACCTGATGATATGCACTGTTTCACAACTCCTGAGTGGCTTGCCTGCGTAAGCATTAATAAGCCAGGTGGAATGGGCTTATTCTGGGTGGTAGTTTGTAGATCTAAGCAATCCCGGCTTTTTATTTTCTGCAAAAGGATGCCTTGTGCAATAGTTCAGATACGCACAGAGAATTACATGGATGGTTCTCACGCACTGTCTGTAACAGCAAAAAGTTGGGGAAAGTCAAAATATTTAGCTTTGAGGAATTTGTTAAATAAATGTTTGTATAACACATAGTAGACTAATAACTGTTTGGAATAATGATATATTTTTATCGGTATGGAAAAATGCTTGTATAGTTTTCAGTTGCAGGTGGGTAAAATAACCCACTTTCTATAAAATATATATACGTGTGTATGCACACACACACACACACACACACACACACACACACACACACACAAATAGGATCTGTGTGGGTTATGCCTAGGCACCAACTCCCTTATATCCAGGCTTATGGAAGGCCCACATACCCAGAATTATACAGTAGTACCTAGAAAGCTATGCATCAAGATGTGAAAAATGGTTGTCTCTAGGTTGGTATTATTGTTTGCCTATATGCATTTTTTTTTTTTCTGTAAGGAACATACTGCTTTTTTGTAATTGAAGAGATAGAAAGTTAGGTTTATATCATTTGAGTCGCCCGTTATTTTGCCAGAAGAGCCCCAAGAGGGAGCCTGAAGTCCCCCTGATCCACTAGTGACAGAGGGACTGTCTGGGCACGTAGGGCCTCCCCTGTGTGGGTAGAGTCCGCTTCACTGTACAAAGCTTGATTGTAGAAACAGCTTGGCAAGGACACAAATGCTTATTCCAAGGCCCCAATTAATCGAAGCCCCTTGTTGTGTTTTCAGCAAGCTGCCTTATGATGTGACCACAGAACAAGCTCTGACATACCCAGAAGTGAAAAATAAACTGGAGGCATCCATTGAGAACCTGAGAAGGGTCACGGACAAAGTCCTGAAATCTATCATTTCTTCCCGAGATCTACTACCGTAAGTTGTACATGTAGCAACGTGAACATTCTTCACTGAAAGTTCTTGAAATGCTATGTAAAAGAAATCATGGCAGTAAAGAGAGGAGTGTTCCCTGATACTGTTTGACTACTTTAAAAGATTGCTTGTGTTTGCATTTTAAATGCACAACTGTTCTCTAAAGAGGGGACGCTCAGTTACTATCATCGGTGAAGGTCCTGTGATTCTGTTACCATCTCATTTTATGTTTAATTTTTTAAGACCACTGCTCAGCTTTAGTTGACAGGAACAACTGCTATGCATTTCTTCCTCACTTAGCCTTTTTTCCATTATTTTCTTTTGTCATCTGTTTTACATGTAGTTATGGATTGAGGTATATAGCCAAAGTACTGAAGAATTCGATCCATGAGAAATTTCCTGACGCCACAGAAGATGAACTATTAAAGGTAGATTTTCAAGGGTCATCTCACCCTAGCCTCCCCTGGGGGTGTCAGCCAAAATTACCAGCATACCATTTTGTGAGATTTTTTTTTTTTATCTCCTGTATACCTGTGTGTAAAAAGTTACAGGTCTTCTGTTTTTAATGACTGTCAAGATTATTGATTATGCTGAGTTTACTTTGGAGATCTTACACATTATTGACATTCTGCATTTAGAGCACTTTGGGGCAGTATGGTCTAATCAATTCTATTTCTCACCAAAAATAATTTTGTTAACTATACCAGTAATGGGTGATTCTGTTCACTCCCTTTACCTAACTCCTTTATAGGATTCAGATCAGAAAATGATCTTTCTTGGGAAACGTCAGTAAATACTGACTTCAATTTAAAGGAATCTAGGGGCGCCTGGGTGGCGCAGTCGGTTAAGCGTCCGACTTCAGCCAGGTCACGATCTCGCGGTCCGTGAGTTCGAGCCCCGCGTCAGGCTCTGGGCTGATGGCTCAGAGCCTGGAGCCTGTTTCCGATTCTGTGTCTCCCTCTCTCTCTGCCCCTCCCCCGTTCCTGCTCTGTCTCTCTCTGTCCCAAAAATAAATAAACGTTGAAAAAAAAAAATTTTTAAAGGAATCTAAAGCTCTTGAGTTTTTTCTCTTAAAAATTGTCTTTTCCTCTGCATTACCCCAGATTGTTGGAAACCTCCTGTACTATCGGTACATGAACCCAGCTATCGTAGCTCCTGACGGCTTTGATATCATCGACATGACAGCCGGAGGTCAGATAACTTCCGACCAAAGGAGAAATTTGGGATCGGTGGCCAAGGTTCTTCAGCATGCAGCCTCCAATAAGCTGTTTGAAGGAGAGAATGAGCATCTCTCATCTATGAACAATTATTTATCAGAGACCTATCATGAGTTCAGGTGAGAGGGCTCATGGCCTGTGGAGAAACTTGGAAGATGATGAACAAGAATAATGTGTGTTCTGTACACAGAACTGGAGTTGGGGGTGAGGGACGGGAGCCTCAGGTGGTGGCGTGCATTTTTTCTGGTTGGCCCTGTGGGGAAAGAGGAGGGGTACTTATGTCTGGGGCTCCCTGTCCCACCCCTGTACCCGGTACCCCTGCCATACTGAGTCATCCCCAGATGTTGATTTCTGCTGTGGACAAAACGAAATGTTTATTTTTCCTGGTATGCTGCAGGCTGATAGTACTTAGAATAAAAGTCAGAATGGCTGATGTCTTCTTCATTGAACTTAAGAAGATAGTTTTTGAGTTTTTTGTTTGTTTGTTTTAAAGAATGTGTCCAGTGAGAAAGAACCTGCTTATCTGCATCAAACACTTTAGTAGGAAATGGAGTATTTGGTTTTCAAAAAGCTAGGAAAATCCAGCTTTTATATTTCTTGTGTATTGTATATGAATATGTCCTATTCTCAAACCTCTCTTAGCCGTGTAAGACTTAATGTCATTGACTTGATATGCATTTCCAAATTACATCCCTAATCTTTCCGTGGGTACATTTTAGGAGTGAGTCTGGTGGGAAGATGTACTCACCCTGAGCTCTCCAAGGAAGCATGTTCAACTTGGCATTTGTTTTTTCTCTTGTTGCCATTCGATTGGTAGTAGGTCATAGAAATAAGACACAAATATGGACTCTTTGACTCCTCACTTGGAAAACTCATTTCCCATTCCTCAGTTTCCTCTGGAACTACTCACAGGTAGTTCATGATCACTGTTCTCTCTTTAGAATTGTGGCCTCTTGGGAGCCTGGGTGGCTCAGGTGGTTAAGCATCCGACTTTGGCTCAGGTCATGATTTCACGGTTTGTGAGTTCAAGCCCCGCGTCAGGCTCTGTACTGACAACTCGGAACCTGGAGCCTGCGTTGGAGTCTGTGTCTCCCTCTGTCTCTGCCCCTTCCCCGCTCATGTTCTTTCTCTCACAAAAATAAATAAACATTAAAAAAAAAACAGAGAAAAAGAATTGTGACCTCTTGTGAGAAAACTCCCTCCAAATCCTCTTACTACAGGAAGTTTTGATTTCTCAAGCTGCTAATTTTAGTTCTTCTCACGGATGAATAAAGTACTATTTGTTGCATATCCTTATCTGCTATTACAGCTTCCCTTTACTTCCTTTCTTCTCAGATTATTGTTATCAAATATCTATGGTTCCAGCTCTTCAAAAAGAAAGCAAACCAAAGTCCCCCCTCACTTCCTTAAAATTCATACTTTTTCCTCTAACACTTGTATTTATCCTATGTGTTGCTCAGCAACCTGTTAAAAGTGTCAATGTCAAAGCGTAGAAAGACCAACTGTCACCTGGAAACATGTTCTTCCCCCCCACCAACATGGCTGTTTGCCATTTAACCTCTTCAGCCTTGGGCTGAGAAGGTAGAGGTCTTTTCTGGTATATAAGCCTTGGGTACCTTAGGAGATAAACCAAGGATAATTTCAGACGTACGAAAATTTACTACATTATAGACGAAAATACCTTCTCTACCTGTACAAAGGATCATTCCTAAACCATGATCAGATTACCTGGCTTTCTTGATCTCTCTAAATTTGCTATTGTTGAAAGAGCAGACTTGTTAGACTCTGACTACTGGAGGAATGGGACCTTGTATGTATTTGTGTGTCTAGCCTTAACAGTCTTTCCCTTGGCCAGCAACCGTTGTTTGGATCAACTGAGAGTAGAGTAGGCTTAACTCGAATTTCTGTCAGGTTGGCAACAGAAGCTTTGAAGGATTATTAGTCCCAGGAGTTTGTGCTATGTAAAGTAGCACATTTGATGAATTGCTTTTCAGATTATTTTCTCTAGAAAGACTTGATTCTTAGATCAAAGATTATCAGTCTCGACTTTTGTGTTTAAATTTCAGGGCCCCACTTTCAAAATAACATTTTTTTAAATAACCTGCCCCATAATTGGCTTACCCTGAGTCACTAATAGAACCGGGACCCTCTTTCTCTCTGCGTTCCTGTCTGAAGAGCTGGGTCCAACGTCCAGAAACATGGACTCAGCTTCCATAGCTAGGCGCCAGTCTGGAAGATACTATAAGAAATCCTCACGCAACCACAGTTTGGGAGAACAAAGCCCTAATCCTAATTCATGAGTTCCTCCGTGTTGGTTTACCTCAGAAATTTGCACCCTGTCTTAAGAATTTGTTTTTTTTTTTTTTTTTTTTTTTTTTTTTTTTTTTTTTTTTTTTGTTAGGAAATATTTCAAAGAAGCCTGTAATGTCCCTGAGCCAGAAGAAACATTTAATGTGGATAAATACACAGATGTGGTGACAGTCAGCAAACCCGTCATTTATATTTCAGTTGAAGAAATCATCAGCACACATTCAGTAAGTGGGGTTGGAGAAGGGTCTTAGCAGTAGACCCACGGTTCGGACGCCATTATCTTGAAAATGCTTAGTTTTTACCAGACTTAACTGTAAGCATGTGCTAGTAATACTTATACTCTGAATACTAAGAAACCTTTGGTTATTTATTCCCTGACATTTGTACATGGATACAACTCCTTTTCCTAAACAAGTTACGTTTACTTTTTACATGGTATGTTTATTCCCTCTTGTGCATAATAAAACTCCTTCACCCAAACAAGGAAAGTTTACTTCTTACTTAATCCATTGTAAATGTGAAGATTAAGCCCTGAGCAGGGACAGGCCCTAATATTCCCCCACCCACCAGGGATACACTGCCTGGACCCCCCACACGATTTCTCTCTCCCTTTCAAGAATCTTCCCAGCTTTTCCAGTAAAATTCTGGGACAATGACAATATTCTCTCTAATGGTGGACGTATAGAGAGGTCAAATAAGCAGGCTGCTTGAGATTAGGCAAGAGGAGACACCGCACCCAACATCAGCCACCTGCGAAGAATCATTTCTTTTGTTCTGGAAAACCCCATTTCTCACAGGCAGTTTCATAGTCTCTGCTATGTCATAATGTCTCCATCCAGATGGCGTGCAAACATTACTGCAATCAGCCATAAAAGGAGCATTAGGCATCTGTTGGGTCAGGGCCTTTAGCTCAGCATGGGAAGCCTTCGATGGCTTCTCAGTCATTTGAAATAAAAAGGCCAAGCATTGAGAGGTTTCTTTTGTTTTGTTTTGTTTTGTTTTGTTTTGTTTTGTTTTGTTTTGTTTTTAGATCATTTGGTACATATTTCCTTTTATCCTAAAAGAGAATGTTTTTAAAATAGCTTTGGGCCTTGCTACTCCAAAGTCTTGAGAACTTGTTAGCAATATACCCCAGACCTGCATTCTTTTTTTTTTTAAAGATTTTGTTTTTAAGTAATCCCTACACCCAGTGTGGGACTTGAATCCACAACCCCAGGATCAAGATTCATGTGCTTTAACCGCCTGAGCCAGCCAAGTGCCCTCAGAACGGGCATTCTAACAAGAACCCAAGTTCTGCAGATACATACTGGAGATGAAGAAGCCTGGTTAAGGATATCCCCAGTGTGGATTATACCCACACGTAGGAGAAAGCATAACAGATACACAGCTCTGAAAGGTCCTAGGTACACTAACAAGTGGCAAGGTGGGCTGCTTAAAATTTCAGACTTTATTACTAAGCTCTTCCCAGAAACAAAATCCTGAGTACAGGCTTGGAAGAAAAGACTGCATCTCCTTTCTATTTCCCTGTTTTACCTCTGGAACAGAGAATCTCCGTAAGTGTTTTGAGTGATCCTAAACTAAGGCAGGTCTGAATGACCAGCTGAAGGAGTGAGTCGGCTGATTAAATGAGAGGCTATACTTCTTTGCTCTCTGCATAAACACTGGAAATCACAAAACGCGTGCAAGCAGCGCAACATTTGTAATGGCAATTTTCTAATGATCAAGTGGTCTCATTCCTATTTGAGCAACGAGTCTGTTGTCTCTTTTTATGGGAGATAATCCATCTCCAAAAAATGTCCGCATGCTGGCTACGCGTTTGCTGAGGGCAGTATCCTCATGCCGATACAGTGGTGGGGAGTTCTCTCTTAGAATGAGACATTCTTTCCCAGGCATAGCAGAGGAAAAAATGTTACTGTATTAATTTACATTGTTACTCTTTAAGGAGAAATGGTCTGTTCTTTTCTGTTAGCCAAAATTTAAAACAGAATCCAATCCTGGGAAATACAGTTTGTGACCAATCTGGATTTTCCTCACAGTTAGATTGGAAGCAGATGTAATAACGTGGGAGGAAAGTAATTGCAGAGAAAAACTGTTGACTGTCTGTCTGAAATGAAGAGGTGTCCACAACCAGGCATAACAGCAGTTCACTTGGCCCAGCCTGTGGCCACATGCTTGCCCCTTGTCCTCTAAGGAACATGTAGAACCTCCAAACGCTCTTTTAAAAGACACTTTTGAGAAACGTGCATGTTCTGTAATTACCAGCCTAAAGGGTAGAAGCTAGCTGCCTAAATTTTCACTCTCCAGAGAAAGCAGCCACATCAGCTCTCCTATCCCCTCAGAGAACAAGGGCATAAATGTATCCATCTTACTTTGTTTTGTCTCTAACTTACTTTCCCCCCCCCCCAAAATAGATATACTACCCTTCCAGATTTTACTGTGACATTATATCACCTCTATTACTTGTGTAATGTCTTCACTTGCCTTTGATCCTTGTGGGGATTATGTACCTGAGGAAACACATCTGGGCCTCAGGCCAAGGAACTATATGGTCATTTCTGCCACCCCTACCCTTGAAAGATCTTCAATGCCAGGCAGATTAAAATAGCTAATAGTGGTGATTTTTTTTTAATATCCATAGTGTTTGATTACTGCATAATTTTTCCGTGAAGAGATATGGAAATGCCTTTCCAGTTTGTTACCAGTGTTAGCCAAGGGACTTCTGCCTCATTTTAGGCTTTTTCCTCCCCAACTTTGACCTTTCCTCTAAAGGCGGACTGGAGCACAGGGGTCGAAGTAGAAGTAGAAGGCTGCTCCTTGGCACACCTCACATGATCTTGCTAAAAGATGGTTTGTGAACACCTTTCACTGAGCTACAGTTTCTTCTTTATCTCCCTTTGAGATAAAATTAAAAACTGTGTCACCTCCCTGAGGTCTCTGATTTGAATAAATGTCAGACTTGTGGGGCACCTGTGTGGCTCATTCGGTTAAGCATCCAACTTCAGCTCAGGGCATAGATCTCATGGTTCGTGGGTTCGAGCCCTGAGTCTGAAGCCTGCTTCAGATTCTGTGTCTCCCTCTCACCCTGCCCCCCACTTGTGCTCTTATCTGCCTCTCAAAGATAAATAAACATTAAAAAATTAAAAAAATAAATAAATGTCTGACTTGTAATTAAGATTCAAACGATAGGGGTCCCTGCTTGGCTCATTCAGTAGAGCACATGACTCTTGATCTCAAGGTCATGAGGTTATGCCCCATGTTGGGCATAAAGCTTACTTTGAAAAAGTAAAAATAAGATTAAAACAACATGAGAAGAAAATTATCTTGGAAAACTGGAAAGGGAACTTGACGTAAAAATGGTAGCACTTAAGAATTTACTTTTATTTGTGTGTGTGTGTGTGTGTGTTTATTGCTTTATTGCTTTAGCTCCTGCTGGAACACCAGGATGCAATTGCTCCTGATAAACAGGACTTGCTGAATGAATTGTTGGAATTGCTGGGAGAGGTTCCTAGTGTGGAATCTTTTCTTGGTAAGAGCTTCTTCCTTCTGCTTATCCTGTGGTTGACATTTAGTTGTTTAGTTTTCCTAGTCTAGATCAAAAAAATCTTAATATTCAACTTTATTTAAGAAGATAACTACAGGGGCGCCTGGGTGGCTCATTCAGTTAAGTGTCTAACTCTTGATTTCGGTTCAGGTCGTGATCTCACAGTTTGTGAGATCGAGCCCTGCATCAGGCTCTGTGCTGTTAGAGCACAGAGCCTGCTTGGGATTCTCTCTCTCTCCTCTCTGTCTGCCTCTCTCCAACCCCTGCCCTCACCATGCTCGCTTGCTCGCTCGCTCTCTCTCTCTCTCTCTCTCTCTATATCAAAATTAATTTTTAAACAAAAGAAACTTCAAAAAAAATAAAAGCCTCTTGCTGTTTATTAGAAATTTTTTTTATGAAGACCATTATCTCCTGTACAACTGAGCCTTTCCTGTAAACCTTTATCTTGGGTTGCTGACGCCACCATCACAATGAGCAAATGGTAAGAGTAACAATGTTTTCTTTCTACAGGGGAAGGAGCAGTTGACCCCAATGACCCCAACAAGGCAAATACACTAAGCCAACTCTCAAAGATTGAGATCTCCCTTTATTTGACAAGCAAGTACAACATAGGGGATGGTGAAGCTGTTGATGGCCAGAGCCTCATGATAAAGTAAGTTTGGGGCTCAGTGGGCACATGTCTCCGATTATGCGTCTTCAACTATGCAAGTTGAAATAGACTGAATCCCCAAATCATTTTAGTATATCTAAATATTAAAATACATTATTCATCAAACATCTAACCAAACAAAGGATAATAGAGTATCATTTAAAAGGGAACAAAATACAATTTGTAATTTAGTTTATAATAGTTTATAAAGGCTATTTTTTGTTTGTTTGTTTGCCATGGAGCAGTTTTATTCCTTTCTTTTAAGAAACAAAGTGATTGATTCTGCCTGTAAAAATCCTTAGATAACTGAAGGGAAATAAGTGTTTCAGAGTGGTGAAAAGATTGGCAAGGAAGTGCCTTAAACCAAATTTAATGTCTGGCATAAAATATCTACAGAAAAGGCACACACATGGTAAGATATCCCACTGTCATTTGATTTATTAACTTGGTCTCCTATTAAACTAAGCCTGGATATGTTTACCAGCTTTGACTTACATCCTACTTCCTGCCCAAAGATTTCAAATGAAGCATCCACACTTTTAATTTTACCGCATTGGTTCCATCAAGGCTTCTTAGATATCCCACACCAGTCCTTTACATAAAGAATGAGAAAGAATGAGGTACATCACCGTAAATCAAAACACCATAAACCAAAATGCTTGCTCAGCAACCAATATGGCTTTTAAGAACTTAAGTACACAGGGACGCCTGGGTGGCTCAGTCGGTTAAGCGTCCGACTTCAGCTCAGGTCACGATCTCACGGTCCGTGAGTTCGAGCCCCGCGTCGGGCTCTGGGCTGACAGCTCAGAGCCTGGAGCCTGCTTCCGATTCTGTGTCTCCCTCTCTCTCTGCCCCTCCCCCGTTCATGCTCTGTCTGTCTCTGTCTCAAATAAATAAACGTTAAAAAAAAATTAAAAAAAAAAAAGAACTTATGTAAACAAGGATACATATTCTGAGTGATGTGTTGGAGTGAGGTGGAGAATGGACGTAGAAACGGTGACCAAAATGGAATACTTATGTATTTAAATAATACTTGACACATTACTTCCAAGTTACACGTCCAGAGTTCTGACATGGTTTTCATTTGTAACAAGAGCTTTCTATTCTGCTGCTGACATGATTCAAACAGCACTCATTTCCAGTTAATTTTTTCCCAGATATTCACACTCATCCATAAAAATGGTGGGGGGGGGGGGGGGGGGGGGGACTTGTTCATTGTCCTGTGCTGCAATGTGTGCTTCTTGTAATTAGGCTTGATTATTTTGTCTTCAGATCATCTAAGGCTTCATGCATTCATGTAGCAGATCTTTTGAGGACCTGTTCTGTATCCATGGCCCTGGCTTCACGCTGGGGAGACAGCAGTAAGAAGCCATTAGCAGTCCCTGCTTCCCAGGGGTCTAAAGTCTGATGGTGGGGAGTACAGCTCAATTGCAGGACAGAAGCCAAGCTGCAGAACTCTTACACACTCTTGGCCTCTTAAGAGTTGAAGGTACTTCCTTAGACTGCTGATTACCAACTCATATTGAATTTGCAAAGAGACAACACAGGGCAGGGCAACAGAGACGGGGGAAGCTATGCAATCTGTTCCCTGGGTTCCTCTGAGAAATTGCCAATTATAAAGGTAACTGGAAATGCAGAGACTCTGTGGTTCTGCCATGCAAATTAAATTAGGGCAAGTATCCTATGATCTCATATGCTTTGTCCTTAGAAGTAATGGGAAGAAATGTTTTCATAATTGGTTTTGTCTGTTACTTGAACATCATTTTCTAAATGCATTCAACTCACTTGTAGGCATTAATGAATGGAAATCACAAAGTGGGTAGTCTAAAATACCACATATTCTCAATATCATATATTTATATATATTTATACTTGTTTCTGAATGAGCGTCGATGGGTCTGAGAATTTTTGGAATTGATTTTAAAAGCAAAACCATAAAAGTCAAGTATGTTGGGCAATCATATATCTTAGCTAGGGAAACCTGGTCCATTGTCCTACTTGCATCAGCCCTTGGATGGCCCTGTCCCAGCTCCCCAGCATGTGCTGGAAGCAAATGCTGTCTGCTCCTTTAACTGACATACTACGTAGAACCAGTGTTTTGTTTTGTTTTTTTTTCTTATTGTTGTAAAATACACATAACATAAAATTTACCGTTTTAACCTTTTAAAGTCTACAAATGAGTGGCATTTTGTACATTCAGAATGTCACACAACCATCACAACTTTCTAGTTCCAGAACTTCTATTAATCAGTTATTCCCCCACTACCCTCAGGGCTCTGGAGGCCCTGCCCCAGCGTCCCTAGTGCTTTCTGTCTCTATGAACTTGTCTTTTCTAGACATTTCATATAATTGGAATCATACACTATGTGATCTCTTGCATCTGTCTTCTTTGACTCCACATAATGTTTTTGGCCGAATAATATTCCCTTGTATGGATACAGCACATTGATCATGGACATTTGGGTTGTACCTTTTGACTATTGTGAATAGTATTGCTGTGACCATTTGTGTACAAGTACTTATTTGAACACCTGTTTTCACTTCTTTTGGATATAAACCTAGGAGTGAAATTGCTGGGTCATAAGGTAATTCTAAGTTTAGCTTTTTGAGAAACTGCCAAACTTCTTTTCATAGTGGCTTTACCGTCTTGTATTTCCACCACCAAGGTATAAGAGTTCGAATTTTTCCACATCTTCACAGACACTTATTTTCTGGTTTATGTTGTTACAGCCATTCTAGTGCATATGAAGTAGTATCTCGTTGTGATTTTGATTTGCATTCCCCTGATGATAAATAATGTTGAGTTGTCCTTGTCAGCCATTTGTGTACCTTCTTTGTAGAAATGTCTGTGCAAGTCTTGGGCCTGTTTTTTGGTTTGTCTTTTTTGTTGCAGAGTTCTAAGAGCTCCTTCTATATTCTAGAGAGTAGACACCTGCCAGATTTATGACTTGCACATATTTTTTACTCCTATGGGTTGCCTTTTTATGCTCTTGGTAATGTCCTTTTATGCACAGAAGTTTTTTAACTTGATGAAGGACAGTTTATTTTTTGTTGTTGCTTGTGCTTTTGGTGTCATGAAATGAGAAATCATTGGGGCACCTGGGTGGCTCAGTTGGTTGAGCATCTGTCTTGAGTCTTGGTTTCAGCTCATGTCATGATCCCAGAGTCATATCTCTCCCTCCCTCCCTACCTCCCCCACCCTCTCTCTCTC